ACTATTCATGCCTCCTATGTTGGTGGAACCTAAGATCCAGCAGGACAACGCTAACCCCTTTACAAAATACGTAACTTACAATTAATGGTCATCAGCCAAAGTGTAAGAAAACCACGATAATTGGCGGATGTTTCCTTCGCCTGATTTCTCTTTTTTCCTCCAATCCACTCTGATTGTATGTCAGAGTCCTTTCTTGATTTGTCCTTTTATCTTACAGTCCGACAAAGGTCTTGCAAAAGTGAGCTCTGTTTCGTTAAGTCCAGATGAATTGACAAATGATCTCCTTCGCCATGTGAACTACATACCCATAACCATTTGAACTTCGAAGTTATGGAGGAAGAAAAATCAGTAGCACCCATCATTCGTTCCATAATAGATATTGACCCCTAAACTATTCTCAGTGGTATTCCAACCAACGCCACACTAGTCTGAACGCCGATGATTTAAGCAATTGACCTACCGGAAAGCATTTTGGGATGAAGAGTTGTAACGGACCCACTGGGATGACGGACCATCGGTCTCAAGACAGAGGGATGATGAGGAAGAAGGAGATGGAGATAGAGTTGAATAGGACAACGCAACTTCGACGAACACTCAACACGCATGTACTTCAAAATGTGCAAATGAAGAATGAATAAAAATACAGACTGCAATTGGGGTATACCCCAGTGGACTGACAGGGCTAAACTAGACTAACCTGGTACCAGACAAGACTGGACTGGATTGAATATCCATATGGACTATGCGATCAGACCAAAGGCCCGATCCCACAGACCGAATAAAAAAATAGCCTTGCTTATAAGTCAGGCTTGTCAAAGGTCCGCATCACGATCCTCGGACCTTTAGTGAATCACAAGAGCCATAAACACGTTCTAAACAATAAAGTTAATAAATCTAGGATGAGGAGAAAACGTCATGTCGAGTCTGTGCGATGGAGCCTAGTTACATAATGTCATAAGGAAAAACAAATGTTTGATATACACATCCTTACTAGAAGCAGATAAATGAAATGTAGCATGATATAAACCCGAAGTCTTGGCGGCAATTGTCTCCGTGCTGAAAAGAAAAGATAGCAATATAGCATAAGATAATGTCATGTCGTTGAACCACAAAGAATGAGACATTCTCATAGGGTTTGAATGCAACCTAAGAACCGAAACTCCTAATTGTAGTTGCGCATAAAGGTGAGAAGCGTTATTAGTAGCGAAACAATACCAATAACCCTAATAGTACTGCTATACAAAAGAGTGACACCCAGCAGGGTCGATTATGAAAAGAGAACCTGAAATAAAGAGATATGTCGAAGTGAAGGTATGCAATGACCAACACTAGGGTCACGAACCGGGAGAGAGTCAGATCTGTGAGACGGGAAGACAAAATAACGCTACGATCCCAGTGCCTATGCAATAGCAAAGGAGAGTCAAACTCTGGAAAAAACAGCTAAGTGAGAACCATCATGCGACATACAAAATGAAATGTACAAGGTATGATGATAATATGAAGTAGTCACGCCCAAAGTAGCAGGAGTTGATGAAGTAGTTTTAGTCATTGAAGTAGTCGATGGCATCGATGGAGTAGGAGTCGAGGTCGATGTCAAAGGCGATCCACAAAACGCTCATATCTTGAAGTAGTTGATGATGAAGTACATGATCATGAGAGTCAGTAAGGAGATTGTAAGTGATAAGAGTGCCATTCATTGAAATGTCGAGGACGTCGACGAGTGCGCTGTCGAAGAGTGGAAGCGTCCGTCTGCTGCTGAGGGATGACGTCAGAAGGAGTGGACTCATCCTCAACAATCTCCTCAGTTGAAGAAGGAAGAGGGTCACTCGACTGAGTAGAAGCAAACGTCTCAACAATGCCGAGCGCATAAGTCCCGCAAGGGGTCCGTCTTGACAGTGTTACGCATAATTTTGTAGGACTTTATTGCAGAGTGTTGTCGCTTCGGCCGAGTGCGACAACCATACCTCTCGTGACCCCGTATGGCAGGATAGGGTTACATGAGGTACAACTTACCTCCACCCGTAGAAGTTGTCACCATCCCTTAGGTGTGCGTATCCCCTCCGAGCTACCACTTACTTGTGATCAAATACATGCATTGATGGTTTGTTATTGCACTCTTAGTATTATTTTTTTTAGTAGTACTGTTGAGTTTGATTAATATTTTGTTATGTGGATATCCCATTTGAGTTTTTGTCCCGACTAACCATCTTTGTTTTCTGCATATTATCTTTATAATATGGTTATCTTATGTTATTTTATAGATGCACAAGACACATCAATTGATGTCATAAAAAAAACAAGGTTAAGATGCACAATAGTATATCATAAGAATTTTTTTTTTTTATTAAATACTAGGCTACCAGAGTGGCCCGGATCCACTTACTCGCCCGAAATAAATAAATAAATTTGGTAAAGAATTTCAATATGACCCTGAGGCAAAAGTTGTTCAGTTTATTTTTCTGCATAACATAATTTTTTCAGAGTTTTTGAAGTTTTTTTTGTTTTTTTTTGCTTGGACCTTCCATGGTCCTTACACGGCCGGACCGCCCAGAAAAATAAGGTGACCCGGGCGGTGCAGCTGATAGCCTGAATTAAATATCGATATTAGTGCGAGATACCACTTCTGGTTACTAGGGTCTGTTAATGGGTTGTCTTTCAACCTAGTTGAAACTTTTTTTTTTCTTTTTTTTTCGCTTATATATGTTAGAGATTTGATTATTTATTACATAACATAAATAAATATTAAGCATTATTGACAAACTTATTGTAGATTTGCATTCTATGTTGTTCACGAAAAATATGCATATAAGATATTATATGATTTTTGCTTTGGATGGATAAATTAATTCATGATGTATCTCACGGTCTATTACATGTGCGAGGATCATGTAGTGGTACCTCATTCCAAGAAGACCATTTGTTCGATTGATTTTATTACAGATTGCCGATGTATTTTTGATTAGTTGGCTTAAGATCTAAGTTACCCTTATGCGTCCGAGTGTATCTTTGTATGTGTTGTCGGTTTAGATAATCCTCTATTTTATTTACTTATTGTCCAACCTGTTGCAAATTATAAACATGTGCTTGTATATTATCGGATCCTTTACCATTCGCACCCTCCATTACTTTATTTTCCCTCACAAGTTGCACATGCATAAGGTTATAATTGCCACAAGCATAGTTAAATCTTGTTTTTCGCATGGATTTACATGTTGTGAAAATTATTGACAAGTGATAGTTTTTTTTATTTATCATTTATGGTACCTTATCCAAAATGAAAAAATTGGCAAGGACTGGTTTCATATTGAAATAAATCCGATTATCATATTTTTGTCTATAGGTAGTCAGTAAAAAAAATACGATTGTTTTGAAAAACCCTTCCAATACTTTTTTTCAATGGTTGACCAAATAAGAAATTTGTGGCATGTTGCCACAAAAATGGTAATTGCTATTAACTAAAAACCCTAAGGGTTAATCTTGATTGATTTACCGTGAAGGCACGAGTGCACAACTTCTAATTTGTTAGTTGATGTGGTTGGGGAGGGATAATGTAGTGAGTACATTATGTTTATACCTCGCCATGTTCGCTATATACAAGTTCAAAAGTATGTGTGCGTAGGATCTCGACTGATGCTTTATTCACAATGCTCATGGGACGCTGGACTCGATTTCCAGCAGGTCCCGCTCCCCACCAATAAACAAGATTATTCTACCCTAAATCCACTGTAGGGGGATGCTAATATCATCTCCTCTAATGGGCTAAAGCTGAACATTTTGGGAAGAAAAAATTGTGTGTATGTGTGCACTTGTGTACATGAGAGAGAGAGAGAGAGAGAGAGAGAGAGAGAGAGAGAGAGAGAGAGAGAGAGAGAGAGAGAGAGAGAGAGACCTACAACATGCAACATCTCGGTGGCGGGGAGCACAAGGGCAGACGCAAAAAAAAAAAAAAAGGTAACATTCTATCCGAATAAGAGTTTTTTCTTTTTGAAATTTGAATAGAAAATGTATATGATGTATTTGAATACAACCCGTACGCCGTTTATTCGAAGTGATCTAATATTCGAGAAAAGTGGACCTACACCCTTTTGATTTTGAAATGTTCAACTCAAGGACTGCAGCCTCCTGGGCTTCCTACGGGCAGCTACTGGTCCTCCGCAAGCAACAACTGCCTGTTCTCCATGAATTGGGTCCCCCAGCAAATTCATTACCTTTCCAACTACCGCTTGGACCCAACGGACCCCTGACGGGCTGCAAACTTCTGCTATGTGAATCCGGTCACTTTTATGGTTGTTGCCCTCCTGCCCCTAAGTGTGTGAACAAACAGAGCACGAGAGGACCTTGAAATTGGGACCCATCATAGCGGCCAAGAAAAGCATAGCAGGGGCCCAACTCCTCTGGGTTTTGTGGGCCCGGGGACCAAGAAAATCGGAATCAGTGACCTGTCCCGCTCCGGGTGAAGTTGAGTTCCAGGAACTGGAAGTCAACATCGGCATGTCTCCTCTGAAAACCAAAAGGCTGTTCGCGGTTTCTTTCTCACTGCCAGTGTGGTTCACTTCCGCGGTTTTGGAAAAACGAATGAGCTCAACGGTTCCTCGCATGTCTCCTCTGAAAACCTGTTAGTTTTTCGGCCCCGTCCCGCTCTACGGGACGAAGGATGATGCTGGCGGGGCGAGCGAGGAAAGCCCGAGCGGGTGGAGCCGATGATCCAACGGCTGCAATGAGCCCGTCGCTACATCGACTCGACCTGAAACTTCCGTTCAGTGTCTCGTTCCACCCGCACTCGTATTGCCCGCTCAATTCGGCAGTCCGTGCTGGCCGACAAGTTGGACGACTAGACGACCGACAATCGCTTTCGGTTTCCCTTGCGTTGTAGCGCTTGCAAGAGTTGTGGGTCGGGTGGCTGCTCGGCGGGGACCATTCTGATCCTCCTACCGATCCCCTCCATACCATCTGCGATCCGCGAAGTGCTTGTTGCGGCGACTGTTAGTGTAACAGAGGACGAGGGCGGGGAGGGAAAGGGTGAGAAAGCAAGCGGGGCTAGCTCGTCCTAGCCGTGCGATCGATCAGCAGATCTGTGCTCGACTCTCGGCCGTACCGGCATCGGCATCGGCACGAGGGCGGCACCCATCAAGCCGTCCAGAACCCATCACCCAGGCCTCGCTTCGCCCGCCTTACTCTCTCTCCCTTGCCTTCCGTTGTTTGACGGCCGTGCTGTACGACACTGCTGCCCGCCGGAAGCGACGACGGCGGCCAAGGGAAGCAAGCACATGCATGCAACCTTGGAGAGAGGGGAGGGGAGGGGGGGGGGTCTGGTATTCTAAGAGGTTTTGATATCGAGCCTTTGGGAGGGAGAAGGGGCGGGTAACCTGAGAGAGACCAAAGCGCAAGGAACGGTTTGGAGTGAAGGAGGGAGAGAGGGAGGAAGAGGGAGAAGGAGAAAGCTCAACGTCCTCAGATTGACATTGACTCCGTCGGAGGAATGAAAGAGGGTTGTTGAGCTGGAAAGTGGGGGGCGAGATTGGAGAGGGTGAGAGAAGGGAGTAACAGCGGTTGGGCAGGTCAGTGATGACAGTGATGCTGAGAGCGGAAACAGGGTATGGCTCGGGCGGACTGGGTGGATGAGATCGAGATTTGACGGCTATGGTGGGAAGGGGAAAGGGATACGCGAGGGGAAGGGGAGCGCGGGTTTTATGTAGTGGTCGGCTTGAGGGGACAAAGTGGAGAGGAGGAGGGAAAGGGGAGGAGGAAGAGTCTTGGAGACGTCATTGTAACTGTCTCTGAACTTCCTTGTGGCGGCGGGGGCGGATTACCTCCGTGGGGTCGCTGTAGGTGTCCGTCTCGGTTGAAAGAGAACTCTGCGGTTGGGGAAAAGAGATGTAACGGCAGCCGACCTCGTGGAAGTTCTTCTTGAAGCAAAGCCTAGAAGCTGCAGACGAAGAAGAAAGTATTGTTGGTTGCTTGATAATTATAAGGGAATTGATTGACCCAGGCGAGATGAATAACAATTACGCGCCTTGAACCCTCACACCCCCTGCGTGGTCTCATCCACCTCTACCCTAGGTTTAGCTTAGACTCGATTATCAGTTCTCCTCCACCGCACCCGCGGCATTCCGCAATTATTGGGGTTCAACGTGTTGCCCGAAGGCGGGAGAGCATTCTACAGGGGAATGCGACATATCCGGTTTCAAGTCAAGGTGGTTGCTTCTCTTCTACGAAGGGAGTGAGAGAGGGACGCGTGGTGAGAACACCGTTGCCCTGGCTTCGTGTTTCTATCAGTCACACAGAGAGAGAGAGAGAGAGAGAGAGAGAGAGAGAGAGAGAGAGAGAGAGAGAGAGAGAGAGAGAGCGCTTGAACTCGACCTGCTTCCTACATTGTGGAAGGTGATGTCGTGCGAATGAGGGAACCTGTGAAGTCGGGATCCTGATCTCAATCACAGATTATCATGTCGGAGTATCCGGCATCGTGATTGGTCCTACATGATGCTCTGACAGTCGGTATCTCGACTCTGAGCACGTTTCTGGATTTGCAGCGGACTGTTGGTCGGGAGAAGAGATTGTCCATCACAAACGAACGAACTCACGGAGACGGGCACATACGCGCGCGCGCGCGCGAGAGAGAGAGAGAGAGAGAGAGAGAGAGAGAG